AAGAAATAAATTAATAAAATAATAATAATAATAAGACAAATTGGAGACAAAAAAAGAGCAAACAAAAACCCAACACTTAGCTGCAAGCAACCCAGCTACCATGTGGCTAATACATGAAAGTACCTGGCGGATGATATGTTCATTATCTGGTGCACCTTGACAAGACCTGAACCATTAATTGCAAGAAAATGGACATTTTTGTATGAACTGTTTTGGCCTCTCCACTCAAGTAAATCTCTGTGGCCACTTCCAATTATTTTCTTTGTTTATGAGTTTCTTTCCTCTTTTTCTCTCTAGTCCTTCAAAAGTCATTTATAAGTCAAAAAGTATTGACTGTTAAGTGCCAACTGGCTTCCCTCAAATCTAAGTACTTTGAGGGATACAAAGTAACAGTTTATAATCCTACAAAATGATAACCTCAAGTAACATTGTTAAAATGCAGGTGTGTGGGGGCAGGGGGAAAGGAAGATTTGCTAAATTTAATAACCCACAGCATTACTTGAATAGTGGCCCAGACTATGTCTACACTATGGGCACGATCTATGTGCCCTGGACTAATTCTGGGCCTGACTCTGATGTTAGCCAGATGCGCGACCTCTGTAATTTCACCCGGGGCCAGGCCTCTTTCGGGAAGGAGAGGGACATTATATTGATACAGAGAAAGGGAGCATAATCTAATTGTTACGTGACTTTGTGCTAAACTGAACTCCGCACTCTCCTAAAACCAAGTTAGAGAGCATCATATGGCTAGGAAGGTTTAGCGTAGGTTTATAGCCGTCTTCTCAGAGAGAGGGAACATTACCTGTGGTCATAAAGAGGGATTGTTACAAGATAAAGTGGTCAGGAGAACAAAGATGGCTTATCTGACCCCGACTGCAACAAAGGAGCAGTTATGAAACAAGGTGTCAGAGTTGCATCTGTCCTCATTTAACTGGTAGCATTCCAGTTAAGTGCTTTCTTAAAAATAATTAGATGATGCTTTTTAATCAATTCAATTTGTTTTTCCAGTTCGTAGGCCTGTTACTACACAGGCTTTTGGGAAAGCTGTCCCATGTTCTTAAAATACCTATATATGCTCCAAGAAAGATTACTCACTGATGCCACTGTCATAAATAAGTTACGAAGACCTTACAAATTAACATCAAGGCAAGCAATAGAGGTTTGAAGCAAGATCACTTATTTCATTTGTTGCAATTCTGTGGCAGTTTGCCAAGATATTTTTAACAGGGAACTCTAGAATTTGCCAGAGTTTAAAACGTCTGGGCGTATTTGATTATTTCACAGAGATGATAAATAGCCACAAAGACAGCAGGAAACACATCTAACTAAATAAAGGAATGAGCGTGAGAGGGAGAAATGCCCTTGGGCTCAGATGGTAGGCCAGATCCAGGTTGCTGACTTACTAACAGCCTAATGGTGAAGTCTGCAGGTGAGAGTTGCAACATGAGGAATGACATAAAGTCCTGCAGCTGAAGCAACTTGCACCCACATTGGGACTGTCCCATGTGTCGCAGGGTCTGTCCTGTTGCTCGGGGTCCACAGAGCTATAGTAGGAAGTGCCATATATGAACGCCTGTGCTTTTTGGTGCTTTAAGTACATGGGTTCTGGTTGGTGATCAGTGTCACAGACTAGGCCTTCACAATGCTTGTAGAGTGTTCTAAACAAACCACATTTTCTGCTCAGAAATTGAAAAGTTTGTTTTGGAAGAGGGTTTTTAAAGGCTTTGGACATTTGAAGCAATGTTCCAGCTCTGTTTAACAGACAACTATTTGCTGGTGTAGAAAATCTTCGAAGTAAGAAGAACGCATTTACGTGGCTGTATGTTAGGCCGGGGGCATAGTGCTTTACCTACATTTCCTAATTATTCTTTATAACAACCCTGTAAGCTACATGGTATTATTATGTATGTTTGCAGAAGAGATGAGAACAGAAAACTAAGGCTAAGAAAGATTAACTTACCCAAGGTCACACAGCTGAGCCCTGGTTCAAGCTCTGGCCATCTGACCCTGTGTTCTATCTACTAGGCTAAAAAAGCCAAATAGTAATACTTACTAGCATTAGTACTACCATAAAAGCAATTCAAGATGTGAAACACCCAGGCATACACATAACCAAAAAATACATGGGTAATATAAAAAGAAATTGTTCAAATTTTAATTGAGAGACCTAAAAGAGTTAAACAAATGGAGAGAGACATACTGTGTTCCTGAATGAACAATTCAGCAATGTAGCAGTTATTATTTTAAATTCAACCCAGTCTCTTAAAGAGATAACGCACATTTCATCTGGAAGCATCACTGTACATAAATAGTCAGGACAATTCTAAATAAAGAAAAAGGAGCAGGTGAGAGATAGGGGCAGGAGCCAGGATTTAAGGGAGCATGCTCCAATAATTAAGGCTATGTACACCCAGAACCAAATAAGAATTATTAATTGAATGCAATTAAATAATAAAAAATAGCCTCAAGTGTATGTAGACTTTTAATATATTATAAATGTAGCATTCCGTAGCAAATGGATTATTCAATTATTCAAGACTATAAATAGTCTTGGGACAACTAACATTTGGGAGGGGGTAGATTTAGAACTCTACCTCACGCTTTAAATTTAAATAGACCCTAGATAAATTAAAATATTAAAGATAAAGAAAAAAAATCTAGGAAAAGTATAGGTAAATAACATCATAATTTTAAGGTGGAGACTAGTTTGAAAGCATGACACACAGAAACCATATTAGAAAATGATAGTCTTAACTACATCAAAAACTCAAATTTTCTGTACCTCAAAAAAACACAATACATAACATTAGAAGGAAAATGACAAACTAAAGAAAACTGCTTATACTATATATGATAATTAAAAAATACGATTAATACATAAACTAACATCAAATATAATTGTCCCATTTTAAATATTAGCAAAGAAAAATAAGTTAAAATTACCAATAGAGTGTCAAAAAAGGTGTTTATTCTTTCTAATAATAAAGACAAAAATTCAAAGAAAAAGTAAAGGTAAACACATACTATTTTCAACAATTAGATTTACAAAAAATTGAGATTAATAATATCTGGTATTGAAGAGGATGTAGGGAAAGGCTCTTTCCCTAAAAGAAAGTGTTGGGAGAAGGTAAATTATACAGAATTTCTAGGGAAGAGGCTAATTTCACAGCAGGCTTAGTCAAGCTTTAAAATTGCATATATTTTAAACGAGTAATTCTTCTTCTAGATATTTATGCAAAGGTTAAGAATTGGAAGTGTGGAGCAATTTTCTAATAAATAACAACTAAAATTTGGAAATAAAGGCATGGGTAAAAATATATATATATATTTTTTGGTCTAGTGAGATAAAGGAATTCTCTGTAGCTACTAAAAAGATACTTAATATCTATTAGCAAGGAAAGATGGCTATGGGTGAATCCAAGTGAGTAAGGCAGATTATGGCACAATATGCATAATATGATCTCATTTTTGTACAAAAAGAATATATATCACTATCACAGGAAAAAAGTTTGGAAGAGTAAATGGCAAAATGTTAACTGTAGTGAGCTTGTTAATGTTTTTGTTTTGCTTGTTTGTATTTTCTATTTTTTCAACAATGAATATGGATTGGTGTTATATAATTAATTTTAAAAGTCACTTCTATTATAACTGCTGGACACAGACCAGTGCTGTGGACAAAAGAGCCATTGTGTCCATTCCTAGCCAGCGTGGTTCTATACTCAGCTTAGAGCAGCAGAAATTTCAAGGTAAGACCACAAAAGAACATGCAATTCAGAGACTTGCGCTCTGTGGAGATGAACTCTGGGTCTTAGAAGTCTTATCTTGCTACCACCCAATTTCCAAGAAATGAAACCTCTTTGGCCAGTTTAGCATTGTTCAGGGCGAGTTAAGTGAAGTGGGCTGTTACATCAACTCTTCAGATTTTAAAAAGTCTTCATTTTCAATTAGATTTCCATTTTAAGTAAGTTTTGCCACAGAAGTTGTCCTTTTGACAATGTCTGCCTTTCCCCTCCTTTCCCATTGACTGTCCCTGCTTATCACCCATCTTCATAACACAAACACAAACACACACACACACCCAGTGTTTCCCTCCTGTGTCGTGGATCTACCCACCTGGAGCAAGTTGCTTCAGAGCCGGTTTTGGAAACGCGTGGTGTTTCACTGAGCAGAGGAGCAATGAAGTGGGAGTCAGAAGAACAGAGTCTGTTGCAGACTCTACACGCCTACGAGCTAAGTAGACACCAGGTCCTGTTGGTTATTAATATTCAGGCACTTCGTGGAGACAAAGGTCACTTCAGGTAGAGGTGTGCTAGGATATGAGTGAAGGGGCACCAAACTGAAAAGAAACACAGAGGAGAGAGAGGTCGAGTGGCCTACTAGTAGCGTTGGGTGGCACACGGTCCTACTGGGAAAAAGCCACAGAGCCAGATATGTGGCAAAGATAAGCCAAGTTAGAAACAAAAATACCAGTTAGCCAGCCAGCATGGTCGTGTCCAAATACCATGCCCATGATTTATGTCTACTCACACCCCAGGATGCCTGATGACTGGATTCTAAGTGACATGGAGAAGGTACCTCTGGATCCCATGGATGGGAACAAAATGGGCTTTTGAAAACATACCAGGACCACAAACTCTTCAGGGAAAGCAACACATGGAAATTTTTTTAAAAAGGAAAAAATAAAAATGAAAAAGGCAATTTGGCATTTATTCATAGAGAATAGGATTAGATTGAATTAAAGAGGGAACCCCCAACTCCATCTAGTTCTCTGCACGTCAGCACTAGGGAAGGATATTAGAACAACAGTTAGGGATTATTTCTTGGCCTTCATGGATTTTCTTCTCAGGGATCAAACATGAAATCCTAAACGAACTTCGTTTTGGACATTGCAAACGGGACGCTGCTGGCTTGCTGACTGTGCTCTCGAGTCACCTCCACAGTGGAGTGACCCTCTCTCTATAGCTTCTTGGAAATACACTATCGTTCTGTTTTTTTCACAGTGACAATGAACCCTAAAACGGAATGGTGCTCGTGTTTCCCAAGAGCAGCACCCCCAGGGGGAGCCTGCTGGACCGCCAACAGAGGATGGAGAGGATACAAATTGAATTAATTTTAAATCAACATGGACACAAGAACTTTCTGCTGTTTCTTCCAACGCCCACTCTTCCTAGGGATGGCATCCCCTGTACTCGGAAGAATGTGCTAGGGAGAAGTCGGAGGAAAAGGCCTGGCTGACATTCATCGCTGAGGGTGGAGGAGCCCATGATCCAAGGGTGTTCCCTCCTCGCAGCCAGCCTCTCTCTGCCTGCAGCCTCCCAGCCAGCTGTCTGCCTCCTTGTTACCTTTCTGCTTCATTCCTCAGGGTTCGAATCAGGAAGCTGTTTTATCTCTGTTTCCTTCTGGGTCACATTGTTACCTAATTAGCTTTGGATAATTTCCTCTGATTAGTCAAGTGCTCTGATAGGTCAACTGCAGGAACTTTTCTCAAGGCGAGTGTGTCATGGAAAAGGCAGCAAACAAAGCAGGCGTTTCACTGTGCACACCATTCCCGCAGGTCGGCAGGCTCGTTCCTACCTGCCAGGAGGCACCGTGAGATGCCACAGTCCTGAGGGGATGTGGTTTGGTGACTTGTGGACCCACCTTGGCCAGATTGAGTCACTCTTGGGAGCTTCTCAGAGGAACAGGAATCTTCAATGAAAGAGCAAACATTTTCTTTCTCTGCTAAAATCACCTGCTTGTTCTCATTTCCTCGAAGCTCATGCTTATTCTCAGTTCAGCTCCCTTGCACGTGGTATGTGGGTAGGGAGTGTGTGCAGTGGGCGTCATCTGTCACCTGTGTGTGTCTCTGAGATCGTTAAGGTCACCTGAAGCAAACAAAATGGGAATAGGAAATATCTGTGCCTGTGGCAGATGTCACTCGTCGCACTCAGTTTTCTTTCCTGCAAAGCTGGGACAAGCCTTATGACCTACCTCCTCAACGCAGCCCTCCAGGAGGTCACTATCAGTCCATCAGGGATGACATTCTGCATGATTTTCTACATGGTATTTGTTGAAATCCTCGAGCTAGAGGTAGTGGCGCTAAATGCAGACGGGCCTGTTTATCAGTCCCGCTTCTGTATAATCAATCTCCATTTAATCCTTGATTTTCAAATTCTGACCTTTAAAGCAATCTAGCAAATGGGCAGTCCTCAGGTCCTCTGTGACACCTGATATTTTATTCCAGGAAAGAAACAAAGAATAAAAGCTTTGTTTATTTTACTCCTCACATGTAAACTGAGGGGAGATGAGGTTCACCAGACATTTGCTGCTGAATTTTGGGGTCCAGTGTTCGAAAGACTGCCTTAACGTGCAACAAAAACTGGCCCCTCCTCCCTTTCAGAATCCCTTAACTCGTACATGCCTCCTGAACCATGCCCAAACTTTAAAGGCAGGGTTCCCTACCGGGGAGGTCTTCGCACACAGTGAGAGACAGAACTGCCTGGCTGTGTTTAACCACTGCTATTCTGCTGCCCAGGCACTGCACAGAGCTTTGGATCCGACTGCAACAGATCTATCTGTCACATTCTCTTTGGGACATCCTAATATGGCATTTTTGTTTCCACTGCTGTTTTACATATCCTTACTCAACTTGTGGTCTACAGCGACTCTCAGATACTTGTGCCAACATTGCCAATTTCTGAACCACCATTTCTGCCTATCTGGTTACTTTAAGTTTGTTTCTCATCAACGCTTGACTGTCAGACAAATCTCAGTTCTTTCTTTCTGTAGTAGCTCAGATCTTTGCTGAACGCTTTGAACTGTGAACTTCATTCACCCAACCCCATCAAAAAATGGACTTTATAAGTTTGGGGAAGTATAAGGGTCTTGGAACCGCACTTTGATGAAGCAGCTTTTATAAGATGATAAAAATATTCTCATTCGGTATTTCAAATAACTTCAAATTCCAGAAGATGCCAACTTCAGCAACATGTCATTGAGTTTATATCTGAAAAATGTACTAACTTATATAATTGCACAGTATACAAGGTACTTTTAAAAAATATAGTTAATTCTGGCAAGATATATGAAATTAGTATGGGTAAAAACAGTCAACAGTCAGTTCTAGCACCCTGTGATTTTTTTTTATTACTATCCAATCAACAGGTATCATAGATTTATGATTCATTTCATAAATTTATTTCATAGATTTATTTCAAGACTGTTTTAAAACCCAATCTTAATTTAATGTTTCAGATTATTCTTCATAAAAATCTCATTAATTTGCCTGAATTGGGTAGCCAATCAAGGCAAAATCTGACTTTAGAATATCTTAAAGATATATATTTCATTGAATTTTTGTTCAATTTAAGCCCACTAGGTTAATAACATTGCCTAGTTGAACTCCTAAGGAAACTTGTTTTAATAGGTATGCAAAAATATCTGTCTTAACTTAGCAATGTGACTTCTCTCTCTGGGAAGGTCATTGTCATCCAAACATGAGCACACAGCATGGATCAACCTTGATATCCCTGGAGTGACAGATGTTTCTACTAACACCGTCGCAGCTCCAGCAATATAAATGGATGCTTTAAAAAATACTTTTGTCTGCTTTTTTATTTGGGTTGTTTAAACTACCAGTTTGCACCAGCACTGAAAGAAGGCCCTATGTTGTTGAATAAACATAAAATGTAGACTCTCGTTTAAACTTCTGTCAGAATTAGTACAAATCCTGAATATAGTGGAGTGATGAGACATGGTTTCATACTGAAAAACACTGCTAAAATTCTCAGTGTGGGTAAAAGATTGAAATTTAAAAATTTTTTTAATTTACGCATGATGCTTTTTCACACTCAGGAGACGCGCAGGATGAATTCTAAGGTTTCCATTTAGTATCTACTTTAGGCAGTCTAGAGTAGCTTCACTCATAGATTACATTTTAAAAAATCTTACAATAACCAGAAGAGTCACTGTATATAACTGAGGAGTGGAATTAGTCAAATTGGTTATTAATAATTTCATAAGCAAACAACCAATTATTATTATTATGGTTATTATTATTTTGAGTGGCTCTTTGGCCTTGCCTTTGTCTTGCTAGACCCAAAATTTTACTTTCCTTTTAGTCCTTTTGGGCGTGGTTATTTGTAGGTACCGGGTGAGCTTTTTGTTTTGTTTTGTTTTATGCCCTATGACTTTTTCTAAATTATATGCTATTTTCATGAGATAACAATCCATACAATTATATAAAATAAAACATTTTTTTACCATCTCTATAGATGCTTTCAGCTAATTTTGAAATGATATTTTAAGAAGTTAAATTCCTAAGCCAAAGTGCTTACAAATAACATGAATACTTTAATTTCAGTTCTGTACAAGATTAGAAATATAATGTTGAACTATTTAAGTTAACCCAAGGTGGATGGGTTCTTTTTACACTTGAACATCAGGTACAGAGGGCCCCGTTAATCATACTACTGAGTTGCATCACATTATCACCACTGGCCTTTGATGCCTTAGAAATAAGTAACTGGACATTTTACAAAAAGCATATTCCTCCTATTTTTAAAGTCCTTGGTCATCATGGATGGACTAAATGAATGTATGCAAACCAAGCAATCGATGAGAGTAATCACTGTATTACTGTGACTTAGGTGAAACCCCTGAAATTACCCCTCCCATCAGGAACTTGTGAGAAGTCTGCCAGTTTAATGAATGCCAGCTTCCAGAAAGATAAGAGCGGGGACGGTGGTTATTCGACAAGTTAAAAACTCATCTGGTAGATTGGTAGTCATTTAGTATGTGTGCATCTTTCTTTTAAAGCGTAGTGAGAATAATGTAAAAAACAAACTCCGCTATATTAGACTCATTTTACAAGCAGTGTAAAGTATTTCCTCCGGAGATCAGTAAGACCATCAGATGTCATGTTTATCACTTGGCTTTTGTCCCAGCAACATATAAATTCTACTTTGCAAGCCTCATATAAGAAACAGTCCCGTTGGTAGTTATTTGCAAAACTATCAAAGTTTAGAGACTGACTGAAGGCTTGAGGTTTTTTCTCCTAATTTGCATGCTGAGAATAATATATAGATAACAGTATTTTTCCTTTTTGACATAGGGCTTTATTCATGTCAAGTATACATATATATGTGTGTGAATTATTTTATTCTCAGCTCCATGGCTTTTAATAAAAATAAATAACTACATACATGTTTGTATGCTAAATTATTCAGCAGTGATAGACTGAAAAGCATTTCTAAATTTAATTAACAAATAAAGCACTATGAGATAGGAGGAAAGAATATCTTCTACATTAGTTACGCAATTAATATATATATCAGTATTTAGAACAAATGTCTATTTGGACATAAAATATTTGTTTACTAAAATGCTGATGACTTAGAGTAAAGAAGTGAATTGTGCATCCTTCTAAAGGAAAATTCTTTTAACTTAAGTTCTATGACTATGAAAAGGGTTGTTACCTTCAGAATTACACTCTTTGATTCATATACATCTTTAAGCAACGTCATTTCAAAAAGTTCTTATAGTATTGGACCTATTTTATACAAAATTGTCCAGACTAAAATTAATTAGATTTTCTATATTTCTAAAATATATTATTACATGGTCTTGTCTTTTTTCTTCCTTACAAAATATTTTTAAATTGAGGAATTAAAAATATTTTTAGGAAAATCTTAGAGATAAAACCTCTTTTTTTTTTTTATTACTCACTTTTCTTCATGCCTTTGATTCTTTAAAAACAAATTTTAAATCAATTTTAGAGAGAGAGGGAAGGAAAGAGAGAGAAACAGCAATTTGTTGTTTCACTTATCGGTGCATTCATTGATTGATTCTTGTATGTGCCCTGACCAGGGATCAAACCCACAACCTTGGCATATTGGGATGATGCTCTAACCAACTGAGCTACTGGTCAGGGCTTCATGCTTTTGATTCTCATTTCATTTTCTACACCTTGACATTGTAACAGTTAGAGAAGGTTGACTGGCAGGTTCACAACATGTCGATAATAGGAAAACTTCCTGGAATAAGAATGTGTCCTTGCAGGTCACAAAAACTAGTCAGCACATTGACAAACAATGGGCAGCAAGATTGCTCCTTGTGGTTCCAACTAAAGAAAAACTTGGTTAATTGTGGCATTAATATACCTCTTGAGTCTGCTGCAGTGTGCATTTCCCTTCCTGTTTTAACTGGGACAACTGAGCAGCCGATGAGGTTGGTAGGATCAGCCTGGGGGTCACAACGGACAGTCCCGCGGAATTAGGGAAATGATGTGAAGAGGGAACAATCATCTCGTCAGGCACTTATTATGGGCACCAGTTAAGAAATGAGCGCAGCTTCAAATACTAGAGACAAAAAGTAAAATGGTTTTAAACAAGACTGGCTTTTTCTCACACATGAGAGTACAGAGGCCAGCTGGTGTGGTAACCATGGTCATCTGGGCTCCTGTTAACTCCCCCACCTCCATTAGTGTGGCGCTGCCTTCAGGGTGGTCACAGGATCCAAGATGCTGTATCCGGCTCCAGTGTGATAGTCATAAGAAGGAAAAAGAGGGAGCCAGCATGGGGGTGAGCCTCCCAACTAGGTCAGCCACCCATCCAGTGAAACAACTTGGCCTACATCTCATTGGCTAACCTATCTGCAAGGCAGCAGGGAGCTGTGGTTTCCATGGCTGGTACATCATCACGCCCAACCATAAAGGTTCTGTTTCTTAAAGCAGTGCAAGAGTATTAGGTACCCAATGAGGCAACAATTCTGGAAATAAGGTGCTACACACTGAACATATGTCACTTCATTTTAATCCTCAGAATATACTTTGAAAGTAAGTTTAGGGAACTTATAAACATGTCCTATGTCTCCCCAAAGCTTTACACCACTACACTATACTGCCTCCCCCGTAATAAGAAATAGAAAAATATTTAAGAAGGTGTGTGTCATCGCCAAGGAGGCCTGAACGTAGTCACAGACTTAGATAAGTAGCAGAAGCTGCAGGACCCCAGGGCCAGTGGAAACAGTATATTATGCTGAGAAAAAAAGCCAGGGTTTGGAATAGGGGTGATAAGGAAAAACCTAGTTTCTGGACCCAGATTCTGATAAAGGTTTGGTCACTGAGAGAAAAAATAAAATTTCCATTTGTTGGAACTCAAGTCAACAGGCTAGTAGCTGTGCTCTTTAAGGTCGCAATGGAGAGGCATGCCCAGATACTCTCCAGACCAGGGTGCAGTGCTAGAATTCGAAAGAATTTCAAGTAGCCTGAACTATCACCTCGTTCAGCACGGCCACGCCTAGCATGCGCATGGACTGTGTCGGGGAGAAACAGCAGCTTTGGTTGGGATTCAGCCTGAGTTCAAGAGGCCATCTCTGGATGCATTCATACTTCCTCCGGAAAAGAAAATTGGATTGGATTGGATTGGTGTTTTGGCCATCTGTTGCTACCCAAAAACCCACCTCAAAACTTAGTACATTGGTACAGCAACAGTCATTTCTTTTGCTCATGAGCCTGCAATGTGGGTGGGATTTAGTGGATGATTCATCTCTGTCCCACACAGGCTCCTCGGCTGGGGCTGGGGGGTTTACTTTCAGATGGTTCGCTCACATCGCTAGCAAGTTGGTACTGGCTGTTGGTTTGGAGCCGAGCAGGTCTGTGGGCCAGTGCCTGGGTTCCTATTACACAGACCTTTCCATGGACTTCTCGGGCTTCCGCACAGATGGTAGCTGGGTTCCAAGAGCAAGTATCCCAAGGGAACAAAGTAAAAGAACATGGCATTTTTATAAGCTAAACTCAGAGGTCACATAGATCCCTTTGTCATACTCTGTTGTTCAAGACTGTCATAAAGCTCAAGGGGGAGAAAGCAGAAATGCCACCATTCAAGGGAGAGGTGTCAAGGTCACATTGTGAGACAAGCAAATGGATTGAAGATATGTTATAAGCATCTTTGGAAAATATAATCTGCCCAAATTGGTGTGGCCCCATACAATATGGAGGAAATATGTTAGGCAATCTCATATCAATTGTCCTTAGGAATATTTGACCTTCCTTGAGTCCAGTGCCTGTGTGGCTGTTTTGGGCTTGGACATACATCCTTCATCCAGTAATTTGGTAGGTGGTAGAACTGGTTTCACCTACAACATGATCCATGGCACAGAGTGGGTCAGACACACAGAAATTTATGGTTATTCAGTACAGAAGGTTATAATGGGACCAGATAGAGTGTGAGCACCTTGAGGATAGAAATGAAAAAGTCTTAGCATCTCTGTATCCTGAACAGTGTTTGGCACTATTAGATGCTCAGTATTGTGGAAAAACCAGTCACCTGCTGAGTTAAGAGTCACTGTATTACTCTTACTCAAGTACCTAATTAGTCTTCATTGTCAGTGAGAGCAGGACCCAAATACAGAGTTGTTCATTTTCTATCACCATTTTCTCCCCAAGTTTCCTGGTTTAATTATGTTTTTCTCACCTTAAATCTAATGGATTCTGATATCATTTTTTTTATCCTTGTTTGAAATTGTTCTATTGAATGTGCATTCTATTTCTAGCTCCTTAAATCCAATCTGGAAGGACACAGAGAACAATCGTAATTGAACTAACAAGCACGAGGAGGTGGAGGCATAAAGTGGTCCTGATTTGGAGGGTGAAGGAACACCTGGGAAAGATCCCAGCCGATCATCAAAACCCTCCCAGCATCTCTTTCTACCATCGCTCTGGGCTTCTCTTTGTTCTTTGGAGGGTCCACGGATAAAAGAAATAAAAGTTTTATCAATAAAAAGTATACATAATCTATTCTAGGTGATGATACAAATTGTTTCTTCTCTGGGCAGGAAATTTCTCCGTCTAGTTACAAGTGATACTGCTGATCTCTCTACCTCACGTGGCCGTGCCTTCCTGTTCACTACGCACCCCGTGCAGTTCCCGATGGACCTCCGTCCTTCCTCTTTGCTCATAATTCCCAACCTCATCCCTCCAGGGCTGGATCTGGAGAAGCAGCCAAATGAATTAATGTCAAGATTTGTTTTCTGAGTGGGGCTGGAGCATGAGCAAGGAGAGCCCAGTGGGCTGGGAGGAGTGGGGAGAATGTGGGGGAAAGTTCTTAGGGGTTCTCTGGTAGAACAGGAGAAACTAGGATGAGTTGTGAAGACCTAAGGTGCAGGAGAGGAGTCAAAATCTGAGCTACAAAGCAGAGGTAAGAATTAGACAGGAGCAGACTAGAGAGTGTTGGGAGTGAGGTGAGGAGGGTTC